ACTATAAAGCCTGATCTTGCCACCATTATTAAGGACTTAATCATGTAGAGTGATTTGCATGGAAGCATATATTGAAGGGTATTCTGCTCTGCTCTATTTGATAGTGTGAAATATCTTCTCTTTATTTATAACAAATCCAAGTAGTCCTTAAAATTGTAAATTGTCCCCTGCTCAAAATTTGGATTAATTTTCTGAATCTTTGGAGGACAAAATTAATTCAAAGGTCTTTGTAACTGAATATTTAATTGTAGGTACAAAATTTTGTGCTATTTACAAAAGAATCTTTATCTAATTGCCAAAATATTCATTAATTTTATCTTGTGGATTCTGAAATCCAGTGGTCAATTACACTCCTTTTGGATGTAGGCGTCTATGCTAGTTGATTTGAATCCAGGATATTTAGGATATGTGAACAGGACCTAAGCAGGGGTTGTAGAATTTCTGTAGATTTTGTAGAAAGAGTAAAGAGAAAATAAAACATATTTTAAATTCAATAATCACAATACATTTCACTAGTACTAGACCTCTACAATCTTTTATTTTTGTGTTATGGCTTTTAAAATGGTCTCCATACTTCCCAGCTCAGAATCACAAAGAGCAAACTGCAGCCAAAACTCTTGTGAGTAGTCCCTTTGCCTTGGGACTACGCATTTGAATAAGGGCTGCAGTATCAAGTTTTGGTTGCAGGATCAGGCCCTTAGCTTCACAACAGTTCTATGAGATAGGGAAGCATTTCCATCTGCATTTTACAGACTAGAAAACTGAAGTCTAGGGATTTGTGACTTTCCCAAAGTCACACAAGTCTGTGGCAGACCTGAGAACAAAAATTAAATGTCTTGACTCAGTCCTATATTTGAGCCACAAGACTATTTACTCTTTGTGATTCTGAGCTGGGAAGGGTAGAGACTGTTTTAAAAGTCATGTCACAAAGAGAAAATAAAAAAATATGAACCATGCTACTCTGCAACATGACTTCAAGTGTGACTTATTCGTTGTCTTGTGCAGTTATTTTGATGTTGGGTGAAACCAGGAAGTACTGTTGGAAATTTTGTGAGGAAAAATCCAATATAATGAAATTTTCAGTTGATTTTAAGACCAAGTTCAGATAAGTTCCAGATAAACAATTTTTTTTGGATGTTTATCCACTCAATATTAAACTGTTGAACCCTTTGAGATTCACTCTTCACATATCACCACCTCCTCGTCTTGACTTCAAAAATAGATCTACTAGAAAAAGAGAGAACTTTAAATACATTTAAATTAGATGCATTAAAATAAGATTCTGCTCTCCCTACCTTCTATGTATGTACTTGTAATCATTCTCTTACTCTATATCCTTTTATCCTCTGGTTTACATGTCTAAAGGCTACACTGGAAGGCTGTCATGAGCACACTCAGAGGGCCCAAGAAAAGTACAGTTTAGCATATTCAAGTGAGAATTAGTGGCAAGGCTCAGTGTCACCATTTTATCACAGCCAGATGATATTACAGTGCAAGAACAGACTGGCTTTTAAATGATGGGCTTAAAAAGGCAAACTAAATACCAGTCATCTGCTGTGCTTTGCAACATCAGTGCCATAAATAGGCACATTCTCTTGGTTGGTTGGTTGGTCTTAAATTTATGATAAAGTATATAAAATTAATGACATATGCTTACACTTATGTGTTAAAAGCCAGTTCCCTGCTGGTGTGTTAATGCCATGCACAATACTTCATAGCCACTGCTCCACAAACAGAACCCACACACCCTTTCATTCATGCAATCAAACCCAGACAATTTTATTTGTGGAACAGTTTATTATACAAATACAATAAAACAAAATAACCTTTTTTATATTATTACTAGACTTGGAAGAGATTAGTGTGATTATGTAAAACCCCTGACTGTGTTGGTGTCTGTCCTGTCTTGCAGTATATTCTGTGCTCACTGAGTGGGAGGGTCACACTGTGTGAGACTAATAAGGACAGAGCAGCATCCCACTCTTTGGAGACTCGCTCCAGCAACTCCTCAGCACTACAGCAGCTTTGTACAGACATTTACTGTGCTTCTGGAGGACTTAATAAGTAAAAATTAAAGGTAAGCGGCTCATATTTGTAGTCAATGTTTACACATCACACACACATACTATTGTATGTATGTGTTCAGCTCACTTTATTGCCAATCAAGTTTATTTCTGATTTTGACTGTACCCTATATATAAAGACTATATACTGTATGCTTATATACTGTTGCCATGCTGGATAATGTACTATATTAATCTGCTCACACTTGTGTAAATAAGTTACTATAGTTATGTCTGTGTGTGTGTATATATATTTGTTTCAATTAAAACTGCTAATCAAAATACTCCTAGTGCATGTACTATAGTTAACAAAATGATTAAATGCTGTTACAAACTGGCACAAGGCCAAAATGTGTGTATTTGTTAAATACTTGTGGATGTACATATAATATGTCTATACACAAAAGCAAATATCTATTAGTCTGTAACGTTTTTCCTAATTGTGGGAGTCTGCTGGCCTAAATGCAGTAAACTGAAATGGTTTAGTGACAAGGGATATGGTAAAAGAAAGGACAGTCCCTTATTGGGAATTTGCAGGTGCACAGCCCCTAACCTACATGGATCTCAGGGGCTCTTGAGTTTTACTGCGTTGAATCACATTGTTCGTGCATTTCACTGCCAGTTACACTTTTATTTGACTAGAGCTCAGACATGCTGTTGGGGCAGAGAGAGAAACTGATCTCCCCTCCCCAGACGCGATCCTCCACCATGTCCCCAGGCTCCTGCAATTCCTACCTGGAGGCAGCAGGCGCTGCCTCTCCCAGCCCCACCTGCCTTTTATTTTTTGTTAGTTTTTTGGTAAGTTTAACCGAGTTTTGCTGCAGCTTCGCTCCTGGCCCCAGCTGAGGCCGGCTTCTCAGGCGGTGCAATTTCCCAGCGGAAAAGCCAGTTAGGATAAATGCAAATCGGGGGGGGCCGCTCCCGTAGGGCGCTGGGCATCAACCCCAGCGACTGGCGCTGCGCTCTGCTGGCGGGGCCCCTGGAAGGGCTCTGCATGGAGAACCGCGGGGGCGGCCGGCCGTCGGCGAGTGCAGCACTCATAGGCCGCGGGCTAGGGGCACCCCTCGCACAGACACGGGGGGGGGGCGCTCACCTCTCTGACAGGGATGTGGCCACCGGGGGGCGCCCGGGCGGCGCGTGAACAGCCGCGTGGGGTGGGGTCCTGCGCCCCCAGCTTTGCCGCCTTCTCCGCTGTGCGCTGGCAGCCAGCGCTGCCGACTCCTTGCTGCGAGCCGGGCTCCGGGAATTACGGTTCCCAGATGCTTTGGCGCGTCTCCGCCTGGCTGGCTGCGCTGCAGGACGCGCCCGCCCGCTGCCGCTCCGGGGAGGGAGGAGTTGGGCTGGGGACAAAGGGTTTCGGACTAGAGAGGTTGGGGACGGGGAGCTGGGATTGTGACCCGGGCGGTAGCGGTGACTGGGAGCTAACGCTTGGGGCTGGCTGGGGAGGTTGGAGCTGGGCAGGAGTTTGCAAAGACGGCAGGAGAGCAGCTGCTGCTAGGAGTCAAGACCCTACAGGCAGCGCCACTGGTAATGCTTCAGGCAAACTGACCTGCACCGTGTCAGGCCTTGGCCCCTCCCCGAGAGCGAGTGCTCTGGCTTTCCCACACTCCAGCAGCTTGGACGTGTTCATGTGCAGAGGAATGAAGGATCTGCACATTTTCCCCTTGTGCTGCCCAGTTATCTCAGTGCCTGTCAATTGGTATCTGTGTATTATACTGTCTGTAAAACAAATCAAAATTAATCAGAGAAACTAAATTTCCAAGGCGGGTTGTGTTACAGGCTGGACCGTCATAAACTCAAGTCAATTCTTGCTATTAAGTTCTGGCAGGTTGATTGTATAAGTGATTGATCATCTTCTGAAGTAATAAACTAGCGATGAATCAACATGCAAAGATACAGTAGGCATGGTGAGAGAGATAGCAGCATTAGCAATTGGTAACAGTGTTATTTAATTTGTAAGAGCTTTTCAGGATTTGAGAGCCATAGGCTTTAAGCTCTAGTACATTGAAGTCTCCTTGTAAAGCAGGTGCAGGAACTTACACCATGATGTTCTTTTGACATAAATTCATTTTGTGTTACTGTCTGTACTGCTGACTGACAGAATAACCATGAAGATGAAAATAGTGCAACACAAAAATAATCATAAAGATGACATTTCCGGAGCAGACACACCAGCTGTATTTTTTCTTCAGTTCATTTTCATATTACAGGACAACATCACGCTTTCTCTAAGAAAAATATGAATAATAATTTATTGTTGCATTTTACTGTGCTTTGTTAAATCCATGCTTTCCCGTTAGTTGTAATTGGTTTAGAAGAAGCCCAGTATTGTGTTCGGAAGACAAAGATATTTTGTTGGACAAGTTTCATTCTTTTTTAATAAGATTTAAACTGCAAACTTAGGTCAGGCTGCCCTAGACACTTGCATATTTTGCAAAGAAGAATATGGGCAAATACATGACCATTTTGTTTTTAAATAAAAGACAATATAAAGCAATGATAAGTTTTCCTCATTTGATTTGATGACTACTTCAGCAGTCATTCTGCAGCACTGTGCCACCAAACAGTTAAACTAAAATATCTAAGACTAAAAAGCTAGAAGGGAGAAAAAGAAACTAGTCATTCTAATGAATGATAATTTAGTGGCTTTTTAAATAATATCTGAGTTAGTATTGCTGTAAATGAATTGCTCATGAAACTAAAAAAAGTAGCAAGAAATACATTTATCACCCAATTCTAAATTCAGATTAGTCTGTAAACTTTTTCAGAGCTTTAACACAGCTAAATGATATACATTGTGTACAACCAATGCCTTTCTCTTTTCTTTACAAATAAATTCTTCCTTGTGGTTTTTTTTTGGGGGGGGGGGCTGTGAAAGGGAGAATAAGAAGATATTGTTCCCATTGTGAGTATTTTTTGTTTCAGATCTGTGGTCATTTTTTCACATGTGTCCAAGAGGAGATGAAGCACATTGGATTCTGCATAATTTGGCTTTGGATGACAATTCTCTTCCTCCTTCCTGTTTCAACTTATATGGCAGCCACTGACAAGACAGGTACTTCTCTCTTTTTTTGTAGCCAACCAGACAAAAGGCTGAGGACAAGTCTCAATATTGACACAGCTCAACAAATAAATAATGATGCTTAGAAAGTAAATGGACCATGTAAGTGTATGAAGTTACGGAAGCTCAATCAGTTTTAACATCTCTTTGAAGAAGTCCATATCGGATGTATCTAAAGGCAGTGTTTCTGCTTCCTGTACACAAAGAGAAATATATTTTTGGAAGCAGTTTAGCCACTTGCAATGTAGTCCCCTGATATTTTCTGTTTTTAATATTACATATCCAAAAAAAGTCCAGTCCTGGTCTTGAAAAATCTAGAACTCTGTTAATACAATTTTGTTTAATTGATTCTGTGTTTTAATCTGAGGAAAGCATTTATTAAGAGCCCCAACGGCATGCCAAGCACCTCAGAGAGGTAGAATAAGGCAGTCCCTTGCCCCTAAATAAACAGAGGAGAGGGGAAAGAGATATAAAATTATAGCAAAATGATCACAGTAAAGTTTGGTGCATTACTTTTATGATTTCCCGCTCCCCCCCTTCTCAGCTCCCTCTTGCCATCTGTCTCTTACTAGCTCTCTTCTCTAAGACAACGTCCTTCTCCCCATCTCTTGTCCCATTTCTTCTTCTGTATTCTGTCACTATAACCCACCATCTCTGAGAAATAAATCACGTGTACACTTGTAAATGTGACCATCTGGTATGATATTACATCAAATAATGACTTGTCAGTTTCCTGGGGTTGGCCATAGACACTGCCCATATCTCAATTCCCTTCAGTGTGCCTAACATCGCTAACAAAAAAGGTTTTTCATTTGTTTTTTTTAAAGAAAAATAGACAATTAGGACCTGATTTTCAGAGATGCCTACCCTCCAGAAAACCAGTTGAAGGCAATAGCAGTTCTGGGTGCTCACCGCTCCTGAAAATCAGGCCCAATGTGTTTAAGATTAGTGCCTTGCACAATGGGACTCCAATCCTGATTAAGGCCTTTAAGTGCTACTGGAGTACAAATAATAAATAGTAGTGATAATTATGATTGGGCAATGTACAATAGGACATTGTGGAGAATCTGAGTTTGGGTTCTAAACTCTCTCTTGAACTTTTAGAACAGCAAAAGCTAAGAGCTCTGTATGTGTATTATTCTCAAACCCTGGAAGGTGGGAGGGTAAACCGCTTCTAATAACCCTGCAATAATCCCCTCTTGCCATTTGAAGGAGTGTAGTTGGTGGGCACATCCAGCTACCTCATTTGGAAGATTGAGGAAGGAACATTTAAAAGGGCTGCAGAAGACGCTCAAATGATCAACATGAACATATGTACAACTTAAATTAAATACATTTGAAAACAAAATGGAGTGCAACTCCCTCTTGTCAGGTAAAAGGCTTTTCAGTTAAATGTAAGCCAGTCATAGAAGACCATTTAGGCCATGGGAGATGGCTGGGACACATGAAAGGAGAGACAAATATCCAAACTCTTTAAGCTTTTTCTTCTTTCATTTAATCCAAGTGACTCCCTTATTTTCTCCTCAAGGTCAGTTCATCCTGGATGGTCCTCTTGCTTTTGCTTCTTCCTCTCAAGATTCTTGCATGGCAGCCCTTGCAGTGACACTTCTTTATGGCTGTCCTGTTTCACCATTTGTACTTGTGCCATTTGCCCCTACCCACCTCGCTATGCTGTACCAACAGAGTTACCTTCTGTACAAGTCCAATACTATGTTGCCTCAGGACCCTGACAACCCCTATAGTATAGTCTAATTGTGCTACAGTTTTTTGGGAAAGTTTTGAAATGCAGGGAGAGTTCCCACTTAAGTTTAATTATAAAGAAATACAGAAAATCAATCATGCAAAAGAAAGGGTAAAGTTACATGTATGGATTAATATGATAAGGGGAGAGATTTGTTTTCCATTTAGTATTCTGAACGTGCCTTGGAAGTGATTTCATTTCATTAGTTAATATTGTTGTAATTAAAGAAATGGCAGTGCTGAAAAGAGAAAATGTTAAAGAGTGTGACAGATTACTCTGGACCTGCTTCGAGCAGGCTTCCTTAGGCCCTGTTGAGTGTGCTGACATCTGTTTGATTCACAGCAATGATCCCTTTCAGTTTTTGTTTGTGCAGAACTTCTGGTGTACTAACTATTTACTGGAGGGAAATGATTACTTCTAAAAATAAAATATAATAAATCTAAGGGAGAGGATAGGGTTACCACACTGACGTTCATGAAGTTCTCCACAGCCATGTGTTAAACCTAACTTTTCCTCGGTATGTTTTTCTCCTAATTGTTTTGTTTTGTTTACATGGTTGATTTAACTAGTTTTTGATTATTGGAAGCATGTGTTTTCACAATATGGAACTGAGCTCTAGAAAGTTCTAATGTGATCATTTCTAAGTTCTGCTTGAATGTTTATAGTTCTGTCTCATTCTCATTGTCTTGTCCAACTTTTTGCTATGAGTACCCTTTTTGTAACTTAGGCTGCTAAGCTTTGTTGTCTGACCTGTGACAAATATGGCATATGAAAGGTTCTGGGCCTGCCAACAATACTGGAAAAGACCTGCTGGATTTCCATTGCCTTTGACATGAAGTATGTTTTGAAAAATATTGACTCTAAATCAAAATATGACTCAAACTCCACTAATAATTTCAGGGGCACACTCCAATGCAGTTTTTAAAGTCTGATATGAAAAATACCTCATTATAGAACACAATATATTAATATTAGATAAAAAGATATTAATACTGTAGTGAATTGATTCATACATTAGGCTTTCTGAATGTATAAACTGCCAGACTTGAACTCTTAGGCTGTGTCTATATTGGAGAGCTAGGGGTGTATTCCCCAGCTTGCATACACATATTAGCATGAGTATAAATAGTAGTGTAGCCACGGTAGCAGGGGCAATGGCAGCGATGGCATGGTTTAGCCATGCCGAGTACAAACCCACCTGAAACTGGTGGGTACATACTCATCACGGCTAAGCCATGCCACTGCCGGTGCTGCCACGACCTGTGCTGTCATGGCTGTGCTACTGTTTGTACTCATGCTAGCTCTCATTAAGCTACTGCTAGTACATGTATGCAAGCTGGGGAATCACACCCATAACTTGCAGTGTAGGTGTAGCCTTATAAATTACTGGGAGTTGAAGTTTGTACTGCATGTCATTTGAAAGTTAATCTTAGACTTGTGTTAAAGCTTCAGGTTTTATCTGATTCACATGTGAGAATATATACATGTAGTATATAGACTTTTTTGTAGAGTTGAAAGAATTTTATTGATTTACAAGACTAAACTCAATTAGTAGAACTCATGACTTTCTATAACTTAAGTTCTGTACCCATTCTGTGGATGGATAGCCTTATGAATTGTATGTACATTACATTTTCAGTGTTCTTTTCAGGTAGCTTTGCCATTACCATTTACTTTTAATGGAAATCATGGAGTTAAAACTAGACACAAAGCAATGCTCCACTCAGCTACTTTTACTCTGGTGTGATGTAACTGAGTAGTGAATCAGGCCATAGTTTTTATGTCCTTGCTGAATGTTAAGAATTCTCTTGTTTTCCTGATTGTTGTCTTTATGTAGTCCCCTTGTCTAATTTAGTTTTCTAAACTGTCTAGTTTGACCCATGACAAAAGTGGTGTCTATACAAGTGTCAGGGTTGTCAGCAATAGTTAAAAATCATGCTGGACCTTTCTTCCTCACTATAAAACATAGCTGTAAAACAGACATTGTATCAGTCTATAAAACTGAGGGCTGTCAGCTCCTTGTATGAAAAAGAATATATAGGGGAAGCTGTTGCTCTTAACATTCTAATCTCTTGGCTCAGCTGTCTAGGAAAATGTACCATTGAGGAGATGGGATCATTTTTAGCACAAACTAGAAGAAGAATTGCACTAGTTCTTTCAGTTTTTGTGGGTATACAGAATACAACTAGCAAAGTAGCATTTATGTGGCCTTAGTATGCTGTGTTTCCTGCCATGACTGTTATGCCTTTGATAAAAATACACCCACAGTGCATTACATGGTCTTAGGCATCTCAGGAACAACTTCAGTCAGCAGGATAGCAGAGAAATTAGGGCTTGATTCTTCACTTGGACTTAGTGGAGCGGGGCCAGAGGGAGCCAGGTGCAACTCCCTGATCCTCCACCCAAGTGTAAGTTATGCTGCTGTTAATTCAGAGTAACTCCCTTCACTGCCACAGAGTTGTTATAGATGTATATTGGTGTAAATGAGAGCAGAATCAGGCCTGTACATTTTCCAGCTGTCGGTTCAGGGATAAAAATTATCTAATGTGAACATGCCTCTCTGCTCTAGAGTGTATATTTCCACCAGAGTATTAGAAGTACAATAAGTACACGATAACAGAGAACTCACTGCACAATAAATACAACTGAGAATGAGCTTGTATTGCCAACTAGGAGTCTGATGAAAGATTACATATAAACTACTGAGATGGCAACACAAAGACTCTTACAATTCTGCATATTCTCCTGGGCAAAATTGCCTCTAATGTGAATTCTTCTTCTTGTTCTTTTGTAGGAACAAGAACAGTAGAAATAAATATAGTATTTACATATCTATTAATTGATATATTTGAAACTAATCTGCCCATAAATGACCTTGCTTTCTAATTGTGGGCTGCAGTTTAGACAAATGAAACAAGGTGTTTGACAGAATCTGATGCATATTACTGCCTTCACCCAATCTGTTTTTAATTAAACCAATGTCATCTTTATTTCAGAAATGTTTAATCATTTTGTGAGGTAATAATTTTTTTATCTAAATTATATCTTCCAGCTATAAATTTACTGGTTACTTCAAATTAACCACTTAAGCTAATTGTAAAGATGTGATACTGTTATATATTGAGTTGAATTCAAGATTTTTGGAGAAGAATGTATTTTCTGTATTATTACAGAGTCAGTGTTGTATTGCAGGCATTTTACAATTACAAGTGTAACCATTTTCCGGGTCAACTTTCAGTCTCTAACATATTTGGAAATCCTTTAAATATAGACTATTTCTAGGATAGTGCTAGTTCATTCCTCCTCTCTTATCACTGAACGGACACGTTGGAAAGTCCCTTGTCCACCATTGCTGAAACTTCAGGCTTATTTTGGCAATCTTTTCTGGGCACTTCTTCAACTCAAGACAGGATTGCATGCCTACAGAGTATCTGGACCAAATCCTGCTTTCCTTCCCTCCAGTAGTCCCAATAGACTTCAGTGGGACTATTTTCATGAGTTTTGTAAAAAGATAGAGCCCTGTTTTAACATGCACAAAATTGACATTAGTTTTTATCCACTTCTTGAAAAAGTGTGTGTGTGTCTTTACTGAACCATAAAGCTGCTGCAACATGATGAAATGTTGGGTTTAGATTCACTGATATTAGATTTTAAGGTTTTGGAAATGTAGGAGCCCATATATAGGTCCTCAAATACTACTTATTAGAGACAAGCTAGTAAAAAGGGTTATTACAGTACTTAAAACTTAAACTTTTAATATACTTCCTTAAATTGTTAAACTAATTTACCCTATTTTATTGTGATCTTGGCTGTTAAATGTAACCAGTCTGTTAGACTTAGCCTCTGCATGTGTACTATATTACAAATATTAGAATACTGTGCTTGTTTACTAGAAACAAATACATCAATGCATAGTTAAAACAATCTCTAATGCAAAGCTGCTTAATTTGTAACAGTCTTTTAAAGAGATAAGCAATGAGATATTCATTGTTTATATAATATGACAATAACCTTATTAATCACATTTTGAGATTATTTTCTACACTGCAAATAATATTTAACTGTTGCTAGGGTAATCCATCATATACTTATAACTTTTATTGTTGTATTTTCATAATAGCGTCTGCTGTAAAATTTTCTTTTTTCCAAAGTTTACTGTACACATAAACTCCCCTCACCCCTGCCAAGTATATGGTATCATGTTTTATGGTATTCTTGATTGGGGGGAAAAAGTAGTAAGAATGTAATATTATTTCCCATAGTTGTTGAATAGTTAATATGTGCTTGTTTTAATCACAAACAATTGAATTAAAACATGATTACATCTTATCTGTTTATAATTATAGTATTAAGAGAATACTTTGTACACTAAAATGCAACTACTGTTGTTTTAATATAGTAGTTTGGTTTATTTCATAATCCTAAATATAAAGAAACAAGAAGGAATATTAGTAGTAATCTAATTACATTGAAAATTGAACTTTGTTCATGTTGCCTTGCAATTCACTGGCATGATAATAAATAGTTTTATGTCTGATGTATTTTTTTATTTGATAATGTTTGATGGGAGCTGTTATATTTATTGTTTTGTAGTTACAGTGTGTCCTATAATGAGACCAGATGGACATCAGCTTAGACATATCTACAAAGAAAATCTTGATGTTTCAGGTAAGTGATTTCTTTAACACAAAAGATAGAGCATTTAAAATTTACAAACCTTGTGTGAAATCCTGGCCCCACTGAAGCTGGCTTTAACTATAGAGAGACAATAAAATATTTTAAATTAAAGCTGTCTTTAATATTAGAAAAATGTTTTTATTAAAATTAGAATAAATTTATGTAATTTTCTGGCTTAAGTTCTATACATGTAAGTTTTTTTTAATTTTTGCTTGTAAAATTAGTCTGGATTTAACATTTGCTTCTCAGACTTACTGTAGATCTGCAGCATAGTTATTCTCATTAGTTCAGATGGTAAAAGAAAACAGCCAATGCATTCCTCAGAGGTTGAAAAGTCAAGAGCTGAGGGAATTTCACACTCATATCCCTTCCTATGAGAAAATGCAAACTGGAAATTTCTGTGACCCAAAGCATTGGGATTTGAAATAGCCTGTCAGTCTATAGACTAGAAAAGCACCAAGCATGCTAAAAATCAATACTTTCCCCAGGTTTTAAAATTGCATTAAACAAAGAATAGACTAAATTAGTATATCACATTTCACAGGTTTTGATCTAGCAGAAAGCTTTTCTCTGAGACAGGCATCTTGTGGAGGTGGAAAAACCTGTTTTAAACTGGGAAGCACACCTCTTATCAGAGACACTCGGTAAGTAAAACAATACTTTATCCCTAAATATCTTTAACAGGATCCAAGCTAAATACTAGGTACAGACTGATATATTAAGCAGTGTATTCAGATAATGCCACATAAAGATCTATATTAGGGCTGTCAATTAATCACAGTTAACTCAGGTGATTAACCAAAAAAAAAAAATTAATTGTGATTTATAAAATTAATTGTGATTAATCACAGTTTTAATCACATTGTTAAACAATAGAATACCAATTGAAATATATTAAATATTTGTGGATGTTTTTCTACATTTTTAAATATATTGATTCCAATTGCAACAGAGAATACAAAGTGTACACTGCTCACTTTATATTATTATTTTTATTACAAATATTTGCACTGTAAAAATGATAAAATAAATAGTATTTTTCAATTCACCTCATACAAATACTGTAGTGCAATTTCTTTATCATGAAAGCGCAACTTACAAATGCAGATTTTTTTGGTTGTTACATAACTGCACTCAAAAACCAAACAATGCAAAACTTTAGAGCCTACAAGTCCACTCGATCCTACTTCTCGTTCAGCCAATCGCTAAGACAAGCAAGTTTGTTTATCGTTATGGGAGATAATGCTTCCCACTTATTTACAATGTCACCAGAAAGTGAGAACAGGCATTTGCATAGGACTTTTTTAGCCGTCATTGTAAGGTATTTACGTGCCAGATATGCTAAACATTCATTTGCCCCTTCATGCTTCAGCAACCATTCCAGAGGACATCCTTCCATGCTGGTTTAAAAAAAAAATGCATTATCTCCAGCTCTATTTTGCCTGTATTCTGCCATATATTTCATGTTATAGTAGTTTCGGATGATGACTCAGCACATGTTGTTCATTTTAAGAAAACTTTCACTGCAGATTTGACAAAACACAAAGATGGTACTGATGTGGATTTCTAAAGATAGCTACAGCACTTGACCCAAGGTTTAAGAATCTGAAGTGCCTTCCAAAATCTGAGAGGGATGAGGTGTGGAGCATGCTTTCAGAAGTCTTAAAAGAGCAACACTCAGATGTGGAAACTACAGTACCTGAACCACCAAAAAAGAAAAGCAACCTTCTGCTGGTGGCATCTAACTCAGATGATGAAAATGAACATGTATCAGTCCGCACTGCTTTGGATAGTTATCGAGCAGAACCCGTCGTCAGCATAGACGCATGTCCTCTGGAATGGTGGTTGAAGTGTGAAGGGACATAGGAATCTTTAGTGCATATTGTGCATGATGATAGTGTTAGTGGATTTCAGCGGAAGTTCTTCTCCCACTCCCAAGGTGCCTGACCAGTGCTCTCCATGCTGCTTCTGTCCCCAGCTGCCCTTTATGCCTTCCTTACAGCTCGCTCTGCTGCGTTGAGTGAGGGCGCAGCCAGATCCAGGAGCAGTGAAAATGAGGGAAGCAGGATGATAGCTACTGGTTGATGGTCAGCAGTTGTAAACAGCAGGTCCTAGTATCTGGAGGGCAAAGTTGCAGGAAGAATCTAGCAGTGTTATTTTTCTTCCTTGCCTCCTTTCAGTTCCCTGGTCAGGGAACAGCTCATTTCAGCCTCTGGGACAAAGACGGGGAAGCCTAGCTGTGTTTATTTCCCCCCCCCCCCCCCGCTTCTCTGCCTTCAACCCTGTTTTAGGCCATGGATAATGAACTCAAGTGAAGGGTGAGCCCAGACGTGAGAGAGGATGGCTATGCAGGCCTGTACTGCTTTTAGCTTTACACATTTAAAAAGAAAAGTAGGCTTTTCTGTCCAATCCACCTGTCCATTGTATCCACTACAATAGATGTGCAATTTAGCCGGATGTGACTGCTGGAATTATTAGCAGTGAAATACTTAACAATGTTGACATTTTAATATAATTAGGCTGGACAGTTATTACCTTTTTGATATTAATAGGGACAAGTCAAGACTTTCAGAGAATTTGTTTTTAAACCTGTCTGTCTGCATGGTGAGGAAGGATCATAGGTTCACATTCAGAAATATATCACCCTAATCAGAAAAAAGCTTGAAACTCTTTTAAAATGAAAATTTAAACTTTGCAGAATTTCAGACTGATGTGCGGGAATATCAGGTGGGCTCCTCCTGGTATGCGGGCTGGGAGTTTGAAGTCTATGGTTTAATGTAAATTATTATTCTCAGGGGAATCAACTTTTCTGTTGATTATTACCTCCATTTTGTAGCAAAATGCAAAACACTTAACACAATTTACTTTTTCTACAGTTTGTTAAATGTATAATATTTCTCAGGTTTTCTGCTAAAACAATTTCTGTTTGAAGCCTTGCAGTACTTTCAAATATTTTTTCTAAACACTTGAGCTGCTTTTTAAAAGAGAAATTTCATAAATTAATTTGAAAGGATGCCTGACAGTAAGGAAAGTAAAGTCACTATAATTTGATATGGTGGAATTATAAAGAAAGCTGGTCAGGAACTCAGATACCTGCCACCAGAAATACTTTATCTCATTGCCCAGCCACACTATCTCTTATACATTCTTTTTCATTAAATCGCCTTCTTTTACATTGTGTCACATTATGTAGTTCCAGACATCTCAGTTTAATCAGATGCAACATGACTTACATATTCATCCCATCTGATAGGATATGTAAATAGATCTGGTATGCTGTGAGCAGCAGAACACTGGTACCCATACTACAGGAAACTAGAAGGTATCTGATTAAGCTGACTAGCAAATGTCAAGATCTCCACTTACATTTGACTCATTCAGCTACAGTGTAGGTAATAAGCTATGCTTTGCCACTGTTCTTGCGTGATGCCATTTGGGTTTTTTCAATGGCTGGAATAATGCTGCAGCTATTTATATGTTTGTAAATAAGTTGCTGTCAGGGGGTTTACTATTCCACACTAGGGCGCCTCCTTGTGGCTCATCTGGGGATTAGCTGTCAAGGGATCTAATGCCCCCTTCTTCGGTTGCTTACTCCATGGTCGGTCTGTCTCTCTCTCTCTCTCTCTCTCTCTCTCTGGACTCAGGTTACTCTCTCTTCGTGACTTGGCTCTCCAGCCGGGTCACTATATTCCTTCCCTTCCAGTAACAAAGACCCAGTGGCCATACAGTCTATTTAAACTCTCAGCAGTCTCCCAAGCCACTTCCCAGTCTGTGCCACTTTCCCAGTGGTTGGCAGGGTAACCCCTGGGTTCCAGCCCAGGGACCCTATGCCCAGCAACTATGGTCTGCTCAACCTCAGACCTTGTTGCTGTGTCCCTGGGTTCTTTCCTACTTTTTTCTTTCCTATCTTCTTGCCCACCTCTGGGTTACCAGTGGAGCTTCCTCCTCTCCTCCCCCTTTTGGTTTTTTGCCAGAGTCTGTAGTCCAAGGCAGGATCCCAAGGACTATTCTCACCCTAGAACTCTTCCTTATACCTAACCAAGTCCCCTCTTCTCTAGGGAATGACTGCAGAGCTCCTCCCTGCTGCCTCTCTTACCACCAACTTCCTCTTTATAGGCCTACCCCAGCTCCTCCCACAGCTCATTATACTGAATTTGGGGTATTTCCTGTATCTGTATCTCTTATGTTCAAGACATTTTAAAGGGTAAAGTTTGTCACCAGTGACAGGAGGCTACTGTGCACAGCTTATGTTTTATACTGCATAGAAAGAATAACAATTTGATTATATTTATGCAAGTCCTTTGTTAATGGTTACTAGGAGTAGATGGTGAAGTTTTAAATTAAAATACTATAAGCCAAATGCTGCAGTCCTTACCTGGATATTATGTTCATTGGGAGTTGTTCCTGAGTAAGACGTACAGGATTTGGCCTCTAGACACTAAACAAAATGCACAGTATGGGACAATCTGATTTTACAGTCATAATAATCGTATAAAATATATTGTTTCATTCTGTTTTAATAAATATAAATGACGGAGAGGTATTTCAGTAGGTATGGTTTAATGAGATTGTAAAGGAAGTGAACAAACTAGTTACTTTGCTAGTGTGACATGATGAGAGAGGAGCTGAAATACTATGTGTGAAGGTAAATCTCCAGACACAGGAAAAAGTAGTCACCAAGTTTTTGTTACTTTTTGCCTCAGAAGTCTGCAGAGTAGTATTGGCTATTCAGGAGTTTCAGAAGCACGTTGGAAAGCTGAGAGTAAGCATATAAATGGCCACAGCTACAGTCTGTCCCATTGAGAGGGCAACATTTGGATGTTTCACAATTCTTTAACACTCTTAAGTATAGGAAATACTGCAGGAGCTCAAGTATCAGAGGGGTAGCCGTGTTAGTCTGGATCTGTAAGCAGCAACAAGGAGTCCTGTGGCACCTTATAGGAGCATGCATCTGACGAAGTGGGTATTCACCCATGAAAGCTTATGCTCCAATACATCTGTTAGTTTATAAGGTGCCACAGGACTCTTTGTTGCTGTTTGCAGGAGCTCAGATACCATAGTGTGGTAAATGGAGTAGTATTTACTTCTTCAAAGTGATCAATGTACCTGAAATTGTATCCTAGGTATTAGGTTCATTGTCGGCTTTCCTGTGGTCTAGGACCATGTTCCTTGCTTCAGATGCAAATTCTGAAGACTGGCAAGCTTGCCAGTTATCACTGTCTCTGACGTTCCCTTTTTAGGGAAGATTATTGAGATGGTGGTAGAAAGGAAACTTTTTGAATTTGATAACCTTAGATTTCCTCACTCCCTTTCTGTCTGTCTTTAGATAAGGGTATGTATTAATTGCTTTGGTTGATGATCTCCAAGCACTGGACAAAAGCCAGGTGACCAAGCTAACTCTTTTAGATCTGTCATCAGTTTTTTGTATGGTTTGCAATGAGGGGTTTACTGCGGCTCCCAATTGTCCTCAGGTGGACAGTGTAACACTGGAGTTTGCGGTTTTTTCCTTTCCGAAGATACTTCGGCTGTCCAAAACCATTCTCTGTTCCTCTTCCTTTGGGATCTCTTGTCAGGGGAACTGCTGGGGTATTTTGTTACCATTCCTCTGCAATGTGTATGTAAAGACACTGGGGAAAGCAGCGAT